AGGGCGACCAGATTTTAAGGGCGGCCAATCGTGACAAAAAATTCACTGATGGTGACAAGAAATAACTCAAAGTACCTAAATATTCTAAAGGTTCACGTACATTATGGCGGCCCGCACTGCACATCGTATAACAATAAGCTTCCTAAATCACTTTCGTACATTTTACGTGTAAAATATAGATATGTTACATATCTATAATGTAATGTATAATACCGCGTCTGTCTGATAGCTATAAACTCAAAAACTACTTAACGGATTTTCATGCCATTTCCACCAATAGAGTGCAGCTATTATTTCTGAATCGATGTCGATAAAAGTTGGCAGTAAGTCAATTCAGTTAGTCTACCAGTATATTATGAGCGCTGAGAAAGAGGCGGCTGGTACTGACGACATGGCCTGGGGCCTAGGGCGGCCAAAACTGCAGATCTGCCACTGGATGGTACTCTTGCGCGCCAAAGTGTGCACTTCGCCCCAGCTGGCTCAATGCTTAGAAGACCGACACATTTGGACGAAAATTTTCCGACTCTTTGAAAGTAAAATAAACAATGAGTTGTAAAGTTTCACATACACGGCGTTTGTCTCAATAGATATCGTTGTGTAGTCTGTATTATTTTTATGATTTTCATGTGATGGACACACTTTTGACGTGTGACCATATAGTAAAGCCATTTGGGTGCGAGTTTATAAACAGTGCTTATCACAATATTAGCGACCAAGTCAACAATGGAAGATAATATGACAGGAAAATTTTATTTGAAAGTTTTCCTCTTCTCTCCGTGCATATCGAATAGAAATTTAAAGAATTCTTTCCTGTTTAAAAATCGATTCACACGAATTTCTTTTTGTTTTACACAATATTTTATACTCCTTGCTTAAAATTCAGAATGCGCCATTTTGTTTCAAGACTACGGGTGCAATAAAAATGTCGTTTTGCACGATTTAACCTTCACTGTGTTCGCGGAGCAGCATATTAATTCATTTCCATTTTTATGCGTATCCATGATAGTTGCAGTGCCACTGAGAGCTTTATATCGCAAAGGTCTGAGGGGCGCTGCTACTGCGTTCATCACCCTGAGATATAAAATGACGAGTCCCATGCGTCGGTAGATTCACCAACACCGGAATAACACAGTAACGTTCACATTACTATTTGACGACAGAACTAAGACGTCAGTTTAGTACCTACTTCCAACACACACACAAACACGTTTTTGTTTATTGATGTAGTTGCTCAAGATCAACGGATTTATTTGACAATGATGTTTTTATCAATTAATATATACATATATCCGGTTTTTCAACAAGGACATAACAATTTTGTATTTGAATGAAACACAGAATAATAATTGAGGTACCGAGATAAAATGTATTCTAGGAGCAGTGCACATGTTTCATTTAAGAATAGATTTCGATCTCCTTCATATGACCACCGTGAGCACGTTTGCAGCGTTCATTTCTTTGGAACCAATTTTCCACCACTATTTCACACGTATCGGTCGAAATATTGGCAATTTCACGATTTCATATGACTATGAACGAGATCGATTCCATTCTTAAATGTAACATGTGTACTTCACCTAGAATAAATTTCTCTATTAGCTCGATGTCTCAATTATTCTGATTTGTTGAAATAAAAATTGTTGTGTGCCTATATGCGTATATTATCATGGAAAGTAATTATTTTTGTAGCTGAAAAAGGTTATAATCTAGATTTGACTGCAAGCATGGGATTCACAAGAAATATATAATAAAAAAACATATTTCAAACTTAAAATTGAAAACCTTTATTTTAATAAATATAATAAATTCAGAAAACGGCACTCCGTTAAAACGTATCAAAATTCAATTCACGTATCAAATCTAAGGCAACACGATCGTTAATATTTCGATTTCAATGAAATTTAACACAGAAATAGAATTTTTCCAAAAAATGTCAAGCATCAGCCATAATTATGCTTGAGATTTTTTTCCAACACAAAAAACAATTTGGTCCACAAATTATTACGCAAAATATTGTTTTTTTTTTTTATAAATACTACATGTCATTATATAAAAATATAGACTGTTAACAATTTATAAACATTTTTGAAAAATAATTATTTTGTGAGATTGGGCAATTAGAACAAAATATTATTTTTCAAAAATGTTCTTATAGGTACATTGTCTTTTTATTGTCACGAAAAGTAATTACTTTTGTAATAAAAATAAGTAGGCGTATAAATACGTAGGTAATGATATAACATACATAATCATTTAGCAAGAAGACAAAAGCTATCACTCATAAAACTATCAAATGTGCTAATTCCAAGGCAGTTATTTTAACAAAGAAAGGCAGTTTATGTACACAGGGCAACAAATTAAATTCGATTATATCTTAGGTACCTAAAACACGCCTAACTGTTATGTAATCTTATTATAGCATACTACATGTATGTTCCAAGCGGTTTACTATTGATACATATTTTTTCTGAATTTTTGTGTACCCTGTATACATAATTTTATTGAACACATTTTCGCAAAATTTTGAGTTAGAGCTATGAGAACAAACAATTCATAACCCTACTTCAAAATGAGTTAAACAATTCAAACAAGCTACCAAACCATAATTAAGTTAAATTATTCATTAAATGACGTTCCATTGTATTTTTACAGGAAAATGAAAGCGATAGTAAAAACAAATATGACAATTATTTGCTCTCTGAAAGATATCCATTGAAAACAATTTTGAAAAATGTGTTTAAATGTTTCAGGGTTTTTGAGGTATTACAGATACGTTAGCATTTTACAATTCAGGTATTGCTCTGTTCAACAGAGAACACAATCTTAAAAACATTTAATAATTTGGCACTTATAACCAAAGATCAGAATACACATATCATATTTCCTAAACTGCAACAAGAACACATACATAGAGTCAAAGTTCAAAATTATCAAGATATTTATTTTCTTTGATAATTATTGTGGTCATTATCTGATAATTATCCGATTTATATCCCATAATGATCCATGGTAATTCATAGTTCTGTCTCTTTAATTTTTTACTAAAGATGACAAACAGTGAGAGTATTCAGTCAAAAAAATTATCACTATGAACCTTGCACAGAGCGGATACTATCTCCCTCTGAAATCCCGGAGTTTGTATTGTATTTTCGTCTGTATTTTTGTTACTAGCAATTAATATGTTTATAATATTTAGAAAAAGTTTTGTTATTTGCGTGTGAATATATTATTATAAATAGTTTATTTAATTTTTTAATCGCCCGCCGACGCAAAAAGAGTCTACCTATAAGTTAGACGTCGTTGTTGTATATGTCTGAAATGAACGCCAGTTTTTCCACTTTATATTTTAGAACTGCCACTGATATACTTTTGCAAAGATCATGATTAATATCTAGTACTTCTTTAACACCCGAGTATAGGTTTAGAGCCTAAGAGTGTGTTTGACTATATGTAACATCATATCTACTAAACTGATGGATTGAGGTCAAAAGGTTTTTTTTTGAAGGCTGATTTAATGGAAATGGATCTTAGCTATGTTTGATGAACATCTGTTCAACTATACTCTAGTCTCATCAGACTCTTTTCCCAGTTAGTGTAGAGACCTTAGTCATATAATGAATATTAATTTGGTTCTGCTGGTGTGATAGCTCTTAAGTTTGCACAAAGCACGATCTTGCATGGAGTATTACAGTCACCTGTAGGATGGCTCAGAGAAGTATGAACTTGAGGCTCTTGATTCGATTGAACGCAGAGCCTGGATTAGTGACGATAAGCTTGAATCTAAATTTCATAGTTCTACTCTTAGAATAATAACGCATAGAATGATAGTTTCATATCAAACGAACTGTCACAAGTGAGGCAAAAATCAAATTCATGTAGGCTAGTTTTCGTAGTAGATTAATTTTCGGTTTTAGTGAATATTTATATAAAAATACAAGTTGAAACGCGTTACTTCCTTGTGGAATGTGATGTTAGTATCTATTTTATGTTTGTCTGACGTATTTTTACACTCATTTACCGCACATTTCGTAATTTTTAGCTAAAATTCTTGAGCTGTTCGCAAGTTGACCTTGAGCACTGACGGCCCGCCCGCTCGTGTAGGCCCATTGGGCGCGCTTCAATTTGCGTCACTTAGCGTGTGCGGACTAGGTTTCTATGCGTTATTATTCTAAGGTTCTACTATAATCGGGTCATCAGATATCTAGACGTACGATGAGATATCCTTACTTGGTCGATATTCTTAAGCGCTTTTCATAATCTTTTATTTTGCGCACAGCACTAGAATGAAACTTCCTGCCTGCGAATGTGTTTTCGTGCACATACAACCTGAGCATCTTTAAGGTGTGACTGAATAGGTCTCTTCTGGGTGAGCTCGTTCAATCGTAGATCCTATCTTTACCCCAAAGACAAGAGCAAGTCCACTTAATAAAAAAAAGATCATCTTTAAATTTGTTATACTGTGACAATCCGATGACATCACAATAATGTAACCTTGATAGTATGCTACAATGTCCCGGTCTGCTGTAGTGACTCGCAGTAGAACTAGAGTACTAGGGGTCACTAAATTGGTCCCGACAAGGTTTTGCCTACAAAATTGTGACTTTAACTCTTTGGAGTACACTGTTTAAACTTTAATTTAAGTTTTAACTAGTAAAGGTGTAACTGCTGGGACCGCCCAACCATGTCTTGTAGGTTTTTTTCGGTCCAATGTCCTTATAAAGGTTTATCATTAGATTTCTTGACGTACAATCGTTTATGAAAGCTTCATGTTAATGTATGAAGAATGTGCGCAAACAATTCTCTTCGCATCTGTGTGTTTCTTTGTTATAAAATGCACATAGGCAAATTTTGACGTATGAAAACATTGACTTACAATTATATGGACGTCGGGTCCGCGCTAAAAAGTGTCCGAACTTATAGGCTTAAAATCGTATACAGAGCGTCATTCACGCTTTAGTCTTCGTTTGTTCGACTGACAGCGAAGCAAGCAAAATTAGACAGTACTGCGATGACATTACAATTTAAATTCAAGGTTTAAATAGGTTGACTTGGGACATTTTTTTCGTGGTTTTTGTGTTAGACCCGTCGTCCATTTATTTGTAAGTCAATGTATGAAAAGTATAAATTTACTACAAAGATGGCACGACCTCTCGGTTTGAGCATTTTGATGGGAGTGACGACCAAACGAGCCAAAGTAAGAATAACGAAGGAAAGGAATTAGAGAACGATTCAAAATTTCAAAAGTAAGTGGCCAGAAACCAGAAAAAGAGTCTGATAAAAAGTGGGATGACGATGAAGGAGGTCGCATCGTCACAAAGGTATGTTATCTCTTTTTTAATCATTATGGAATTTCAAGGAAATTTAATTTGTACACTCTGAGTATTTCGATCTCTGTTTATAACATTAAAACACATTTGCACAGGAACAAAAAATAATAAAACGGCTATAGATATTATGAAATACAAATAAAACCAGTAGAAGTATCTATCACAGAGCGTGTATTGACACAATCGTTACTAAAATGAAGAATATTCCATTGGCCCAGTTAATTAGACTATATGAATGAATGGATTAGATTTTATCGAGCCCTGAGTAGAGTCTATTTCGGATAAATTGGACAATCGAGTGTCGAATCTTAGTAGCTTTTCACAATTTACTATTAGTATATTTTTAAAACTTGTATCTTCTTACAAAAGAATTGATGTAATATCTATGTTGATGTAATATAATCTGTTTTGATGATACCAAGTGGCGGGACGGACGAGTCGTGCGCCTGATTGTAAGCGACACGCCTGTCAATAACAGTTGCAGTGCCAAAAAGCTTCAAAACCCAAAGATCTGGGGGAACTGCCACTGGCGCCCGTCACCCATAAGATATAAGTTGAAAAGTCCCATGTGCCAGTTATTTCACAATCATCCGGAGTATTCAATCACAAAAATCAATTATTATATCAATGTCGCGAATGAAAATGATATTTGCAATACCAAAACAGGTAACACAAGTCATTCTACCTGAAAACAAATACACAAGCTTTCACGTTTATGATATAGATAGGAAAAGTAATATACGCTCCGAGATGATACTTAAAAATAGATCATAAACAAAGCCAAGACATCAGAACACAAGTGAAGCCAAAAGAACGCCAAGTTCCAGCCAGCTTCTCACTTGGAATGGACAAGGTTGAGGAACTCCTCCCTGGTCTTAGGATCATCCCGGAAGACTCCAAGCATGGTTGACGTGACCGTCTTGCTGTTGATCTTCTGAACTCCTCGCATCACCATGCACATGTGGCTGTGGAGAGAAAAATCTTTAAGTGTTGTATTTCTTGCATGTACCCAAAAATATTCGCGTCCTAGCGTAATTTGAAAGCCAGAGTTGCTTTCAGATTGTATAAATTTCCAAAACGATTTGGGCTTCAGAAATGCTCTGAACGTCAGGTTGATCTTCGAATTAGTTGGTTCTTTTAGTACTGATTCTAAACGTGTCATATTATGCAAACTAGATTCTTATATCAAAGATTTACAAGACTTCTCGAAGATATCTCCATATTGACTCTTTTGTTTCGTGGGGTGCACGAAAGGAGCCTCCCTGAACGACGTACCATTCCTTTCTTGTATATCTGGCGCACCCTAGGCAACAATCGGCCAGTACCTTACGCCGTTAAGCAAATCCGTTCACCACGATGGCAAGCATGATAGTGTATGCCCTAGAATAGGTACTAGAAAGAAGAAGAAAATATTTCAAATGACAAGACTCTCTCTTTATCCCTGAAAGCGAAACCCTGAAGATGCTTTCTAATATTACAAATGACCATTGTGTTAAGTTTGTCAATTTAACGGTTTGCACGAGATCGTAAGCAATTTACTTACACTCCCTCAACGACAACGGCGACTCCAGCAGGTCGCACTGCCTGGGTGACCGCAATAGCGATTTGCTTGGTAAGGCGCTCTTGTACCTGGAGACGGCGGGAGAAAATCTCCACGATTCTGGAATTAAACGAACATTATTTAAACTGATGATGATGACGAAATGACGTCTTTGACGTCAGAAGCCACGCTTCTCTTTAACTCGCTGGCTTTATGGTCTTCAGCATAGCACCAATGTATATAATCTTGTTTATTCACAAACAATTACTTAGTATCAAATTAGCAGGTTCTTTGTCGTACGAAAACGATATTAATTTAGAGTATTTTCTTAATAAGAAATATGAGAACAATTTGTTGCTTACACTGGTCAACAACTTGATGTTAAAAAAAAATATTTAATCGTTAAAATTTCAGTCCTGAACGGCGATCTGATTCAACCTTGTGCAATTTAAACGTGGTATTGAAGTGTAAGAAATATTCAAACGGTTACCTGGCAAGCTTGCTCAGTCCCAAGATCTTGCCCTGCGGTAGATAACCGATGGAGACTTTGCCGTAGAAAGGCACCAAGTGGTGCTCGCACATGGAGAACATTTCAATGTCCTTCACCACCACCATCTCGTCGGTGTCTTCGTCGAAGATTGCGTTGTTCAGGACATCTGGAAAATAAAGATATTATATATACACTAGCAAAAAAATATTATATTGACATGTACGAGGTTCAATGAAAGAATATTGACGAAACAGATTTATGAGGCAAATGTAAAAGGGCAAGTTGGTAAGGGCTGACCACGATCAAATTGAGGAAGTCCTAAAGAAAGGCTAGGCCAAGAGACACTTAACCGACGAGCCTGTAAAGCGTAACAAAAATACATTTGAAATCACAAGTACCAATGTAATAACAATAAGTCGCCTAAATCGATTTGGAAGGCTTTATTAAATTTATTCTGGTAATAAAACTGATTTCGAGGCGAGAGTGAATAGGCGTTTATATAGGTGTGTATGCTCCATAGTCAATCTCATCCTCGGGTGAGGTAGAGGTATTTGATCTCGCGCACTTTTGTAACTGTAAAAAAATTACCTTCCAAGCTTTGGTCATATCCTTTAGTGAAGAACAGCATGGCTTTAGCAGCGCGTTCTGGAGTCTTTAGCAAGCCATCACGTTCAGGATCTTCTCCGAGACCTACAAATTACATTATGAGGTTATTGGCTTTAAAAATTCCAAAGCCATAATTCAATCAATACATAGGACATATGGGTTTTCCAATAAGGACATAACAATTTTGTATTTCAGTAAAACACAGAATAATTGGGATATGGAGTTGAAATTTACTCCAGGTTTAGCACGAGTGCTATACTTAAAAAAATAATTAGATATTGTTCAAATGACCACCACGAGTACGATTACAGTGGTCGTACAGCTGATCAAACAATTGATATATTGAAGAAGTAGTTCTATAATCGTGTAATCTCGCCAAATGGTCCTGTCGAATGGCCACTCATGCGATCTAACGCCGTCGGATTACTTTTTATGTTACGTTATGTCGTTGCTTTATGCCAACAAGCCAACAATGTTAAATGAGCTCAGGAACAATATCAAAGGCCAAATTACCAACGTTTTGGCCGATATGCGTGGAAGAGTGGTGGAAAATTGGCTACAGGGAATTGAATGCTGCAAACGTGCTCAAGGTAATCATATGAACGAGATCGAATTCCGTTCTTAAATTCATGTGCATTGCACCTGGAATAGATTTCAGCTCAAAGATATCTCAAAGTTATTCTATGTTTTATAGAAATAGAAAAATTGTTATGTCCCTGTTGAAAACCCCGATATATATATTCATTGGCAAAAATATTATCATTGTCAAACAGTACCCTCCCGTTGAAAGATTTGAAAAACTATGTCAATAAACGCAAAGACAGTCGCCGATATATTGGCATAAAAAAAAAACATGGCTGTTTAATTAACTGTCTTTAAACCCTCGTGGGTACAATATAAACTTGATAGACGCCGCCGTAAGTTGTGGCTTCCGTTATTAATTATTCAGTCAATTTATTAGTAGTAACAAATAGACTCCAGGAACCCTTGGAATATACAGATAACCACGACTTTTCAAGAACAGCGATAGAGTTTAATGAAGAACTAAATTTACCAGTGAGCAGTAGTTTGTAAGAGTTGGCCATGTCAGGTAGCAGAGCCTCCCTGGTGGGAGGCCTGTGGTCCAGCTCCAGGTCATGGTGGAAGGTGCAGTTCTCGTGACCTGAAGACAACGATACAAAAATACGTTAGAAAGAGATACAAGCCTGTAAATTTAGCCATCACCGTGATGATGATTTGAATGATAGAATACTAAAATCGTTCGCGTACGTTCTCTTTTTATTATAGTTTTATTTATAGCTACCGATCACACTTTATCAGAGAAAACCTTCTACATTCCTTCGCTATATTATAATTGAAAGTTTGAGATGGAGTTTTACCCCCTTCTAAGAATGTGATATTTTCCATACATATCTCGCTGTGTGTGCTTTACAAGGAGAGATATCTATGAATAATATCGATTAGGACATTTTTGATCCAAGATTCAGAGTATTTAAACGAGTAGTAAACAACTTGCACGTGTATAGATTTTCACCCATTCCCTTGACGCTTTAGTGTGAAGTAAATAAGTAAATTACCAGACAATTTAAAGTAGTTCTTTCTTGTTACTTTAGAATGACGTGTCAACCTAAGTAGGGTTACAATCTAGTACAGAACTTTGTTATATCATATTTAATTTGTATCAATGTACTTAATTTGATTGTTATCTATTTTGTTGTCCATATAATAAATAAATACATAAGGAGTAACTCCTCAAACCATATTTAGGAATGTACAAAAGCAGCCCATAGTATCGTGCAATAAAATTGTACAATAAACTACCTTCTGACTAAAAAAAGAAACGAATGATAATTTGTTATTTAAAAGTTCAAGTAAATATTTACACTACAAAGAAAATATTAATACTACCTACATAAACGATTAAATAACGTAAAAATATTTTATTAAACAATAACACCAATGGAACACAATGAATAAAACTATAAATACTTAATTTTCTTATGAGCAGTACATCTCTGGAGGAGCTCTTTCACAAGGAGCTGTACTGCTACTTGAACAATCAATTGATGAATGAGTTTATTCACATGAAATTGCTAATGAAGCTATAAATTAATATATATTCTCTCGACCTTCTGAAAAACATTTTTTATGCTTTAGTTTTTAAATTATTTTGACATTATTTTGTTTACGCCTTTCAATTTCATTTATTGTATTCAATATCTTGCAGTGTCCTTTTCAGGGTCATCTACTATACTCTAGTCGTAATGTAATCCATGTGTAACACCTGACAATGTACATGTGACAATAAATAAGTACAACACAATACGTTTTGATAAAAATCAGACTTCTGGATCTCCTTTCTCAATCTCTTTTTATAAGGCCTAAGCGAATCTCAGTTAACAGTAGCTGAAAAGTCTGTCTTAATTTATATACAATTCTAAAAATAGTTACATATATTCAAACACAGCTCATTTGTTCCTAACCACAAGCAACAACATGCTAATGTAGCAAAACAAAGAATCCAATTACCTAAATTGCACATCGTTGTACGGAAAACAAACAAAGTGGTTTTTCTTATATCATCAAGATGATATTATTTACTGAAAAAAATTAATGTGTTGTTAGGTACACTAAACCACAGATCCCTTCTGTCACTTTTTGAATTGTTACAAATAAGGTATAATATGACCCATTTGCATTTATCGTACATAATACGTAGGGAGAGGTAGAACAACATTCGGATTAAAGGAAATAAAGGACGGTTTAAAAGATATTTACATACCATCATCCTATTAAAAAGCCATGTTCTGGCCAATATAACCTCCTACATTTCTTACAATCCATAGCCAGCTCCTTGACCTCTCTGTAGCTGCTCACTTTGACCTCTTTTATTTGCTAACAGAACGCTATTTACATATTATGTACCAAAGGAGGTATTATATAAATTTTCGTAAGTTGCCCTTGTCACGTAGTAGCATTAGGGCTCATTGTGAAAGAGCTCGTCCAGGGAAGTACTGTCACCTTACCTATTTCTGCCGCCAAGCAGTAATATGAGCATTACGTTCCAGTTTTGAAGGGTAAGTATGCTGGTGAAATTACAGACACGTGGGAGTTGTCAACTTATGTCTCAGGGTGACAGGTGCAGTGGCAGTGTCCCTCACATCATTGCGATTTAAAGCTTACCATCAACTGTTCGTCCCGTCACTTGATATTATAAAAAAAAACACTAAACAACTTAACCCAGAAATATAAAAAAGAAATTGTAATTTGAATTTTTGGTCTTTTATAAAGCTTTTGCAAACAATAATGAATATAGATTATACTTGATGGAATTGAACCGTTTAATAACAACCTGTACATTCAGCATACTATTCATTTCGGCAAGCTTGTTTTACAAGTAACTGATTTCTTTTTGTACATTTTTTGACATTGGAAAAGCAGTTATTTTTTTATTGAGAGGTCAACGATACGAATCCCTGTGGTGAATGTACCCTGTGACTTTAATTTCCAACTTCCTTTGTTATTAATTTGTGAATCACAACATATTGTATGAAATATAGATTTTAAGACTCGTTGTCGGAGATGGATGTTGTAACCTGGCGCCTTGTTGATGTTGGTTTATATCGGATTAAAACCCACTCCGCCCGAAATCGAGAGCAAATACTATTTACAACTAATCGAGTTTTGTTCGTTTGTGTTGCTTCTGATTTAGATGATTCTATATGCCTTTCTGTTGAATCGATTCTCTTGAAAATCGCATTGAAATAAATCGGTACAAAAAATCGTTAGATCGTATGCACTTAAATCGATCTTCATAAAAACCGAATCATAATATGCATCCTTAGTTGTGAGAATCCAGGAACCAGGATTGCAATGTATTGTGTGGAATTGTCCCTTTTTCGTCTAAAAAAGGATTCATTGGGTTCAATCGACAAGCGTGTCAAGAGGCTTATAGGTGACTCGAAATTAGTAGAGCCTTGAACACCTCGAAGCTGCAGAGCCTTGAACACCACCGTAAAGTTGCCTGCTTATCGGTATTCTACAGGATATATCACGGAGAGTGTGCGATGGAATTGCATAATTTGATTCCGCCTTCCCCTTTCCATCAACGGGGGGCTAGACTGGGCTGGGATTCCACCAATATGTTGTGGCAAAACTTGGACCTTTTCAAGGCGAGAGTGAATAGGCATTATTTATGCGTGCATGCTACATCGTCTACCTCGTCATCACTTTTCATTACTCACGTATGAAAATGGCGATCAAATGTGCATTTATTATTTATTAAAAAAAAAATTACATCGAAATTTGTAATAAGTATGGAATTGCACCGAATTCCGTAACGTGGGCAGAAATGGGTATTAACCTTTGGGTAATAACCCCTTCAATGCTGGGGCGGGCAGAGATGGTCAGTGGATTTTAAGCCACTGCCCATCTCTGCTCGTGGTTATTCACTAAATGGTTATCACTAATTACAGGTTTCTTACAACAATGATAACAAAAGAACATGGTATTTTAGTTACAGAAAAAAATGAGTGACAAATGTAACGCCACAAGTAGTCGAGATAAATAAGGGTAATTATAGATAGGGATAGAGGGTGAACAGGACAGGTATGTCTGTTCTTACAGTTGTTATATGCTGCTGGCCAGTTAACCTGCGACATACAAAGAAATCATACTTTGGTAAGAAACTTGTAATCAGTAATTATCATATAGCGCATGAAATACTGTATGGAATATTTAAATAACTTTATTTTCGTCATAGGGACTATATAGCAATTGTATTTGTTGAAAATGATAAACAAACAAGATCCAAAACGAATAAACATAATGCAACAAGTGGTTTCGTACATTGACATTTCCACTGGGGTAAAATGTACTTTGTTCCATAAATCGCAGAGCAATATACAAGGGCGAATACAACAATAGTCGAACCTAAACAGGTCGACACAGTTTGGTTTAAGCGAGATTGATAATGCGGGTAAGAAAATTAATAAAACTTCTTCTTTATGAACCTTTTCCGACATGCAGATTTCCTAACGATTTGCCTTCACCGTTTAAACAAGTGACAATTAACATTCTAATAAGCACGTGAGAAAATTAAGACGCATAAAGCCTTGACCAAACCACCAATAAAGAAAACTCATGGCCTCAATAGGCTACCCTGAGGAACACTATATCAACTTTTATGGCATTCCACAGGGTAGCATTTTTAAATAACACTTAACAAAAAACAAAAATTATGTATATACATCGTTAATTATAATTTATATACCATGTTTTATCCTATTTCTATCAGCCATTATTTAACTACACAAG